AGAAGAGTTTCTCAAAAATTGTGAGCCATTCCTATCTCATTTCAAGCAAAGTTTCTTTCAAATCTTCCAGTCATTCCACAATCCATCTTACTCATTTGGCCCATGTTCATGCCAGATCTAAACTGACCCATGTTTTGCATGTCACTACAGCTAAAGGGACCTTCCAAGTGTCTATTCAAATTCTATGCCTTCCATTTCCATTTCTTAGGTCATATTTAGATACTCTTATGTCTTTTTTTAGATGATTGGCATCAATGGGAATTTCATCTGATTCCAGTCCCATACCAATGTTACCAAGTCTATGAAAGAGTTACTAGAGGTATCTCAGAACAAGGCTCTCTCATCATTTCACATGTGTTGGTCTGTAAAACAGAAGTTGATCATTGAATATTACATTTCAATTAGCTGTTCAAAAGTAACAATGTTGATTCCATGACTTTTCCCATTTTCATCTTCAAGAATGTCTACTCTAAATACATTAGCCATACAGAACACTTCCTTCAATTTATCCCAACCAACTTTATAATTCAGATTTGCCACATATACTGTGCTTCCAGATATTTAACATGTATTTAATCTAATTTGGGAAGTGTGTGGGATATTAATTATTCCTAGGTCAACTGGTCCCATAGCCATGCCACCAATAGTAGACATCAACTTTTGTCTTGCTCTCTGGGCCTGTTCATCATTGGGATTTTCTATGACTTTCAGAGGCACTTCACTCAGACCTTACTTGGTTAAAACTTCACTAGTTTTTTTTCATGCTTTCTTCCATCTTGAAATCAACATTGCAAAGAAAAACAACTTTGAAAGACTTGAGAACTCTCATCAAGACAATGACCAACAATGATTCCAGAGGATTGAAGCATTTTATTTGTCACTTCACAGAGAGGTGATGGATTCAAGATCCAGAATGAGACATACATTACTGGACATAGACAATCAGGAATTTGATTTGCTTGACTGTGAATACTCCTTACAAAGATTCAATTTTTCTTTTTTGCTTCAATGACAGGGGATATGGGCAGGAAAGAAAAAAGTGTTTGTAACTGAATTCAATTTAATTTAGTTTTTTTGTTTGTTTGTTTGTTTTTCCTTAAAGAGAATGTATGTTGGGAGTGTCTAGAATAGCTTTTCCAAGCTGGGTGGATCAAATCTGGGTGACCACAGCAAAAGGAATATGCAGAGGAGAGGGTTTAAAGAATAACCAAATGTTAAAATTAAAAGCAAACTCAGAGGTTATCTAGTCCAACCCATATCCATGCTGGGGAAAGAGGTGAATGCCACAGGCTTCAATAATAACAGCTGGCATTTATATACAGTTTAATATCTTACAATGTACCACCTATCATACATCTCACTTGAACCTCATCACAGTCCTATGAGGGAAGTATTACAAGTATTATGATATCACAGGCAAAGTAGCTAAGCTCCTGGACTTTAAGTGATATGCCATGACCACACACAGCTAATAATCAAAGGCAGGACTTGAACCTAGGCCTCTCTTAATTCAAAGTCAAAACATTCATTGCACTACTCTGCACTGCCTATCACATCTGCTTTAAAGGAAAAGCAACAAAGAAGGAAAGAGATTTTAAGTCCATACCATGTAAATGGCATGCAAACACCACACAAACTAGTAGACCTCTAGAGTTGACAATTGGAATACTTGAAATTTATAGATAGGGAGTGGACCTGTGAGTTCATTGGTTTAGGGTGAAGAGACTCTCTCTACTAATGAAAGGGCATCTTTTCTGAAATTTATATCTGAGAGAGTTAGAGGTGTCAAATACCCATGCAGCTTACAACATTCTCAAGTGCAGCCTGAACCAGATTAAACTATCATCGAGAAACATTTAACAAAATAAACAAAAATACAATACAACATAGATAATGTTACTTTGTGGTTTTCTAAGTCAATATGTGGCTACAGGAATCCTCGTGTAAGGTTAAGTGACTCCTGTTTCTATTTGAGTTTGATACCTAGTTTAGTCCAAAGAATTGAGAGTTTAAGTGACTTTCTCAAGGTCACACAGCCAGTACGAGTCAGAAACAGAGGTCTTTCTGGCTTCAAAGCCAATTCTTAATCCATAATAGCATGCTGCGCATAACGCATACACACACACACACACACTATATATAATATATATATTTAAATATTATAATTATATAACATATATACTTATATATGTTATTTATATAGTGCTTAAAGACTTGCAAAATGCTTTTATGTTTAGTACCTTATTAGATCCTCTCAATAGCTTTGTGAAATAAATATTATTATTCTCACTCATCTTACAGATGAGAAAACAAAGGCTTACAGAGTTTAAGTGACTTGCCTAATCTCACACAGTTTGTAAGTACCTAAGGTAGAAAAATAACAGTTGACATTTATATAGCACTTTAGGACTTGCAAAGTACTTTATATATGTTATCTGATTTGATTCTCAAAAAAACTATGTGAAGTTGTTGTTGTGCAGTTGTTTCAGCCGTCTCCAACCCTGTGTAACCCCATCTTGGATTATCTTGACAAAGATATTGCAGTGGTTTGCCATTTCCTCCTCCTGCTCACTTTATAGATGAGGAAACTGAGTTAAGTGATGAGCAATATAGATGAACAAATAGCGTTAAGTGACTTGCCCAGGGTCAGACAGCTAGTAAGTGTCTGAGGCTGTCTTTGAATTCAGGTCTTCCTGACTCCAGGCCCAGTACTCTATCCACTATACAACCTAGCTGTGAACTAGGTACTATTATTATCATCCCCACTTTACAGATGGGTAAACTGAGGCCAAGAGAAGTGAAGTGACATGCCTTGGGTCAAACAGGTAAGTGTCTGGGGCAGGATTTGAACTCAGGTCTTCCTTACTCCAAGTCCAGTACTGCTTCCACTATCCCTTGATATAGAGTAAGCACAGGAAGATTACTAATAAATAAACAAACTCATTCATCATTGGAAATGTTCATTATGTTTTCAATAGGTGAAGGTTTTGTAATTTCCATGGTGTGGGCCCTCCCTGCACCCACAAGGACTACAACCCCATTCACTGGGATAGGTGGTCTTGTTGAGTTGCTACTTCCAAAAAATTCATCCTTCCTTTCTCACCTCGCCCCTACCATTGATCAACCTGGTGATAAATTTTTGCACTTAGCTAGTACATGTACTCAAAGCCTTTGTGGGTTAGTAGGATTTACAGAGCATGGGCTCTGCTCGATTTTTCCTGTGTTTTTTTTTTTTGGCCTGACCTTTACTTTTTTTCCCCCCTGACCTGTTAATTCATCAATGTAAGAAGCAGGCTTTAGATGGGGAGAAGAGAGGCTCAGAAGTCTAAGGGAAAGAGAAAATGGAGTGGAGAATGGGAAAGGCAGGGAGACTTTTTTTGCACTGAAATCCTTGATCTGTCCTTAGTCTCCTAACTTAAGGAAAGGACCATGCAATGTGTCCTTACTTGGTTGAAATGAACCTCTCTGCCAGCAGAAAAGAATAACAATCCACAAAACCCATGTTGTCTGACTTCCTTTGTAATTTGAAGACTAGGAGAGAAAGAGTCCCCATGGGCTGTCTACATGGGGAGTAGGAACTGCAGTTTACTTCTTTTTGGTGACCACAGCAATGGTCAAGAAGAGTTCAGTGTAAGGGAGGAGGGAGAAATCAGGTTTCTAAATATTAACAGGCAAACTTTTCTCAGATTTGAACAACAGTTAGCTAAATATGCAGCCTTTCCAGCCTTTCCAGTACTACTGCCTGAAGTTCTTAACCTTTTTTTGTTTGTTTGTTTGTTTATTTACTAGACTGGGGAGGGGGGAGTGGGAAATGGAGTAAGGGGGATCATTGTGCTGGTCACTGGCGATACAAAGATGAGAAAGGACACTATCTCTGCCTTCAAGGAGCTTACATTCTCCTTGGTAAAAAATAGGACTGGATACACAGATAAGTACAAAACAAAGTAATTTCAAGAAGAAATAACTCCAAATTGAAAGGAGAAGCCTTCAAGAGAGTAGGGAGAAAAAAAAAACTGCTTCCTTACACCACTTTCCTTTTAAAAGTAAACAAGATCTTAACGGAAACCAGGAGCAGAGAGAGGAAAACTACCTTACTACACAACTTTTTCCTGACAACTATCAGAAACAAGAAGGTTATATCCAAGATCAAAGGATCACTTGATACATAATTTCATAAACTCATAGGATTTATAGCCTTAGAGAACACCTAGTCTAGCCCTTTCATTTTACAAATGAGTAAACGGAGGCCCAGCTTTAAAAGACTTGTTCAGAGGTGCATAGGTACAAAGGGGTAGAGCTGGGATTTGAACACAAGTCCTTGGACTCCAAATCCTCTTGAATCTCTTCTAGTAACTAACAGCTTCTAGATATTTCAGTAGTAACCCATAGGGAGCGCCAGTGAAGTTCTGTTCCACCGCATCGTCCAGGCATAGAGCTAAGCCTGGTTTCTTGAATCCTCTAAGACTAAAAATTGCAAAGGTGCTAACCTGCCCGTGGTTAGCGAAAGTTTCTTATGGGGAGCGCCTCCCTCTTCACTGTGGCAAAGCCATCATCACTCCAAGATTTCTCCTTCTTCAAGTTAATTTCCCTCTCCAGAATCCCAAGCCCCACAGCACGTCCTTCCTTCCACGTAGACAGACATTAGACGACCTTTTCCCGCCCCCCACCCCCACCAAGTTCAGTAGGCAGGCGCACACACACGGAGATGGCCAAGCAGGCAAACTGACAAACATATAGATGAGGCAGCGGGGCAGACAGCCACACCCAACAGTACCATCTGTAGCTTTTGATCATCTCTCCAGCCTCAGCAGCCCGAGCTCCCTCTCCAGCTTTGCCAGCACCACCCAGTTTGCCCACGCAGCTGGGGCCAGTCTCTTGCCTCCATCTACTCCTTAGCCTGTGGTTCCAACTACCCTCTACTCCCCAACTCCCTGGGCCCTCAGCCCTCCCACGGGACGAGATGGGGATAGATTGGACGGGACGGGATGAGACGGGCTCACCAGGTCCACAACCTCCCTGGGACGGAGCTGCGATTTCTGCTTTCCTTTGGGGTTCTCCATGCCGCCCAAAGGCGCGGGCCACAGCAGAAGCAGCAGGAGCTGCAGGAGGCAGAGGTGCAGCCGGGCAGAAGCGGAGGCAGCAGCCGGGCCGGAGGAGCGCATGGTCAGGCCGAGTGAGCGGCTGAAAGGCTTGGCTAAGCTCTGGCCCGCTAGAAAGAGGGGGTGGGAGACGGCTGAATTGGTCAGTGTCTGGCCCTGGCGCTCTCTGTAGCCGCTGCTGCCTCCGGTCGCATCAATGCGCCTTTCACACACGCGCCCTCCCTGCGGACAGTAGGAATTTTCATCCTGTGAGAGGCTGGGAGCCCGCCGCCCCCCTCCCCCGCCCCCTCCCAGCCCCTAGAGCCTGGCCTCGGGGCGGGCCGAGACTGCTGGGGACTCCGCCCCTTTGGCTCACGCCGGGGAGCCCCTTCCTGCAGCCAGAAAGTAGACGGAACCTCCAGGGAAGAGGGAAGGGCAAGAGAAAATTGTGGGTAGGTGAAATTTATGGAGAGGGTCAGACACAGAGCCGGGAGGGAAGCCGAAGATCACAAATTTCGAGCTGGAAGGGACTTTACTGGGCATATATTCTCACTCCCTCATTTGACAGATAAGGCATTGAGGCCTTGAGAAGTTAAATAACTTGCTCAAACGTACAGATGTATTAAGTAGCAGTTTTAAACCCAAGTTTTCTGGCTCCAAATCCAGCGCTCTTCCCGTGGTACCTAAGCAAAGTCAGGCACCAGAGGCTGGTGAAAGGACTGGAACTCCGGAATAAAAAGTTTGTACAGATGATATCGTCAGGCAGGAGAAGTAGCTGTATTGTAACCGACCATCTATTAGATCTCCCACTATGCCTCCAGGATCTCCAGGGGTGGAGAGGAGAGGAGGAGGAGGAGGAGGAGGGAGGGAG